TATTGGGAAATTGGGAAGTCCACAGTGTAGCAATGTAAATGTGATGGGACGTTTTAAAAATACTTAGAGACGTAAGCGCAGTCATAGATGTCACAGGGTGAATTAAATAATTAATTAATATTACTAATTATCATTCATATCATATTCATACATTTGTCTAAGGCATTATATTATTATAGAAACCAGTGAATTCCGTTCTCACTAGGGAATTTACTACGTTCATTCATTGCCTTATTCATTCATTCATTTATGCGGGTGAGTGGTCAGTGAGAGTACGGGTGTGTGAGTGGTCAAACTGGTTTTATTCTGTCCCCTGCGCATTCGCGTCAATACTAATTCTCGAGCACTCCAACCGTAGACTTTGGGGAGAGAAGACACTCTCTCTCCCCAACACAAATTTACCTCACGGTAACTGTGACCTTTGTCTAGGATTTACGGTAAGAAATAATTGGTAAATTATTTCTAATGATTCAATTACTATTCATTAATCTATTTGATCATTTTATTTCAATCAAGTATTTTATAAATTCTCCAAATTTATAAAATTAAAATTATGATCCGCGTAAAAGAGTGAGTGAGGCGAGAGATATTTAATATCTGTTGTTATATTTCAGGTCACCCTTCCTTCTTTGTTATAAAATTCCATAATCGTAGAATATATATTATATATAAACATCGAACCCAGCAGCCGTGTTGTGTTGTATTTTACCACATTTAAAAGGCTGGTCATACAATAAACCTATTATACACGATGTTCCTTTTGATTCACTACTACCTTTTGTAAATAAAACGTTAGGTCTCCATCACACTGGCACCAAACTTTACGCTGTCCCTTTGAAAGTTCTATATGGTCTATTTGAAAAGGGCAAGGAAAGTCCATATCTGGATTCTTCGACACCAGAATACAGGATTGGATCTGTGATTATGGCTATTGCAAATCATAGGCTTTTTAAATCGCCAGGTTTTACGGAAGATAATACTGCTCAATCAACCCGTTTGTTCCTTAAACTTCAATTTGGAAACAAAGGAATCGACGCAGTTAATAATAATAATCTTAATCACGAAAGGGTCCAGTCTTGTATTCCACCATATTGCGAGTTGAAGTCCACACCTTGTATTTCTTATAAATATACATCGACTATTGCTTCCAAACTTTGCTTCCAAACTTTTTAATTACAAAAAAGCTCTAAAATGCATAATGCTCCTAAGTGTTCATAGTGTTCTTCAACTTACAACTACAGTCCTGCTGGACACGTCATTACTGGTGTTGTAAACATAAGTAATAATAAGGACCTGAAATCCCTTATTTTAAAAGGGCCATATTTTGGGGAACCCGTTCTTTCAACTGGCCTCACTATTTTATAAATATCATGAATTCTGTGGAAAATTACGCCAGGCGATGGGCCAAGCACGAAAAAGAAGACCTTGACACTTTGTCAGAATGGATTAAGAGCATCAGATGGATCACATTATGCGATTGAGGGACTGTATGAAAACTATTTATCCTTCTGTCCTTAATAATTCACATGTGAGAAAGGAATTAGATAGATTACACGATCAGTATGTACTGGACCCAGCTGACAAAACTGGTAACAACATAGTCTTTGTTTGCAAGGCTCATTATTTGAATTGTATTTTAGAGGAACTAGGATTTAATTCTGCAGGTGGAAATCCAACTTACACCCACAGCTCCCTTTCTAAGGAGGAAATTCTTCAGAATCATATGTCCGTTTAAGGTATTTTTAATATTCCCAACAATCAAAATGAATTTGAATTACTATACCTTTACTGGATTCCTAAACTTCATAAAATCCTTACAAACAAAGATACATAGCGGGTTCCAGTAAATGTCCTACCAAGCCTCTTTCTTTACTCCTCATTAAAATATTTACTGTGATGAAGGAGAAACTTCAGGAGTACTGTATAACAGTATATTTCAGAAATGGTGTAAATCAGATGTGGATACTTAAAAACTCCAAGGAACTTTAAGAAAATTTGAAATCACAAAATATTACAAAAATCAATAGCATCAAAACGTACGACTTTTCAACACTTTATACAACCATTTTCCTTGAAAAAAGTCCAGGCTTTTTGACATGATAGACAGCTGCTTTTTCAATAAAAGTGGAACTCATAAATATACCGGTACTTACCTTGTAATTGTTTATTTGCAATATTTTTTTGTTAAAAATATTCTAATATTCTATTTTTGTATTCATATGAAGCAGAATTTATTCAAAAACTTCTACATGAGAGGAAGAAAACACTTGCTGTGGCCTTCAACTGGACATTTCGATATATCGACGACGTATTATCAATTAACAAGTTACTTCCATTCATATGTCGACTCAATATATCCCAGTGAGCTTGATATAAAAGAAACAACAGAGTCTGACACATATTTAGATACTGTACTAGAAAAAGACGTTAATGGTAACCTTACAACAAAACTTTATGAAAAACCTGATGACTTCAACTTTTTAATCGTCAGCTTCCCTTACTTATGTAGCAATATACCCTTATCACCTGCATATGTGGTTAAGTCACTTAGTTGATTCGTTACGCAAGAGCATGCTCTACGTATGAGTAATTTCTATAACGAGACAAGCTATTGATAAACAAGTTGATGAAACAAGGATATCAACACTCTCTTTTGAAGTCATCATTTCGCAAGTTTTATGGTCGATACAATGACCTTGTTAGCACCTAATAAGAGGGCGCAATTGGTAGCCATTCCAACAATAGTTTTTTTTTTTAAATTAGAGCAGAGGATCATTAGTTGTTAAGAAAAATGTGGCAATTAAAATATCGAGAGTTACCTGTAATTAAATAATTAAATATCAAGCACTACTTTTAATTACTGATCACGCATGAGTATGTAAGACATATCTGCTGCATGATAGTCTGAACTCATAATTAAAATAATGTAATTTTGTTAAAAAACTGTTTCTTCAATTCACAGATCAATTAACAGTATGAATATAGAGAATATTTACATCACAAGTTATCTTTCACTATACAGTATTATAATAGACAGAGATGTTTCACTTTCGATATGACTAAGATGGCTTCGCTGTTCTTCATTAGAAAATGCTCTCAAGTGTTTTTTCTCTTATAAAATCCCTTGCAGTGTTGCAGTGGTTAGAACGTTCGATCTAGATTAGCAGATTTAGGAGTTGATCCTTAAGTAGCGGGTTCGAATCCCACTGTGTGACGCGGAGACCGGTCCTTCGGATGATACCGTATAAACCGAGGTCCTGTGTCGCAGGAGGTGCTGGCACGAAAAAGATCCCTCACTGGTCAATGGCCCAGAGTGCCGAGTATAGGTAAAAATTTGCAGCTCTCTACAGGTAAGTGGTGGCGTCTCCATATGAGTGAAAAATTCTCGAGGGGGACGTTAAACAATAAACAAACAAACAAATCCTATAAATTCCCATGGTCAACTCTTAAACAAATGGGAATCTAACACTAGGTCAAAAATGTGAAAAGGCAGACATACAGACAGATGGGGTCCGTGTAACACTTTACAATTCAAATTTCTAAAATGATTTAGAGTTTGAGAATTTTAATATATTAGTTCAAATTTTTAATTTCAAAGTCTCAAACTGATTTCGTGTATTGAAATTTAATATTTTAATTCAAAAACATAAACTTTCAAATTTCCAAGAAGGTTTTAAAATTTTAGATTGTTACCGTAGATTTTTACCTTAAATATTCAAAATTCAAATTTTCAGAAACGAATTTTGTATTTTAAACAGTTGAGTTTTTAATCTATCTACGGTTCAGAAAATTAACGCTTAAAATTCAGTACCATTTTTCGTATTTTGATATTTTAAAATTTACTTCAAATTTCTAAATTTCAACTTTCAAAACATTTTAGATTTTTTGAAATTTAGAATTTTGATTTTTTATTCAAATTTCAAATAACCAAAGCACATTTTTTTTTTCATTTTGAGTTTTCAAAATTTTACTTCAAATATCCAAAATACCAAATTTCCAATCCCGATATGAATTTTGAAACTATGTCTGTATCAACTCATTTTCTAAATATCTAAGAGCTCGTATGCTTGACCAAAAGCGTTTTTGACATAGTTTCAAAAATCAATGCGGGTTTGGAAATTTCATATTTTGGAAATTTGAAGTAAAATTCTAAAATCTTTAAATGTAAAAATGTGTTTTGGTTATTCAAAATTTGAGTGTTTGAATCAAAGTTCTAATTTCTAAAAGCCTTAAAGGATATAAAATTTTAAGGATATGGTAGTAAGAATCAGATTGGACAACCCACTACCTAAAGGGGGCTTTAAAACTTGTTCTGACGGAAGATTTTTCTTTGTAAGCTATGACACAGACAATTTTATCAGCCAGTTACAGGCCGCAGCTAGAGAATATTTTCCTGTCAAACAGATCCGCCAGCTGCAATTAAGGTTTGTAAAAACAGTACGTTGGGAAAACCTCAGAAACTGCAGATCTCCACAGAGGAATCAAACATCACCGTTGGACCATTAGACCAAGAAAGTCAATCAACCAGTTTGAAAACATTTTGACCTCATAGGTTACAAATGATTGGTTATTTGCCATAATACAAGATGGACAGATGTGCATAGAAAAAGCAAGGGAACATTCCGGATGCATAAATCAATTCGCCCTAATGGTGTTAACGAACTAAATCACATCACCAGGATGAACGTGAACTAGAACTAATTCCTGATTTTGACGAACAAGACTATTCTCTCTTACTAAGATTACCTTATGTTAATCCACATTTTCAACTTTTATATGACCCTAACATTACTAAACTGCCCCAACCCAGTTTATACCCATTAAAATGGGTAGCTATTAAATTCATTCCTTCTATATATATATATATATATATATATATATATATATATATATATATATATATATATATATATATATATATATATATATATATATATATATATATATATATATATATATATATATATAATTTTTGTATATTTTTTAATTGCCAAGCCTACCGTTGCTGTGATGTTTAGTACTCCTCCGGTTTTTCCTAGGTTACATTGTATGCTGGTTTCTTCGTAATCAAAATTCTTTATTTGATGCAGATATCCCGATGTCTTGTTTACTGTGAAATATTCACCTGCATCTGTCTAAATAAAGGATTTTAAAATATTAATAGTTTTTTCTTCAGATTTCTTTTACTTTATGAAGCTCTCTTATATGCAAGAGTGAATATCAAAATGGAGAATATTTCTGAAATATCAATAATGTTACACAATTTTTTTGTATTTTAGTTATGAATGATTATTTTTACCCTGTGTTTCTGAGCCTGAAAAAACGGTACAAAGATTAAAAATTGTACATGTAAATTTACATACCTTGTCATCAGTCATCTGCAAACTTATTTTCTTAAAAAAATTCTGATTCTACACAAAAGTTCTCTAATATTGATATTAAAAGGATATTTGAGTTTTTCATTGACAATTTCTATGTAAAGTTTGGAGACCAGGTCTTCCAACAATCTGTTGGAATAGCAATGGTTACTAATTGTGGTCTATTATAAGCAGACCTGTTCTTTTTTTTATGAAGTACAGTTTTCCAGAGATTCCTACAACACTTTATGATAAACGTGATGATTTCAGCTTTTCTATCGTCAACTTCTCTTACTTAAGTAGCAACATACCATTATCAACTGCATATGGGATTTATGTCATCCAGTTCATTTGATAGATGCAAGAGCATGTTCTACATATGATCAATTTCTAAATAAGGCAGGCTTCTGAAAAATAAGTTGATGATACAAGGATTTCAACAATCTCATTTAAAGTTAACATTTCGAAAATTTATTGGGGATACAATGACCTTGTTAGCCAGTTCAATTTAATGTTACTTCGAATGTTGACCGACGTCTTTCTTGCAAATTTTAGACAAATATTTTCACAGTGAATTGTCTACGGATTTTTCTGTGTCCCCGATGACGACGGGTGTGACCCGTCGACCGGGAGTTGCTCACTCCTCTATGGCACCTGGCCCAAACCTCTGTTTTCAAATGTCCGTGTTTGCTCTCACAATTCAAAATGTTTAATTACGCATGATTACGTTTCGTTACCTTCTCATTTCTATTCCTATATATTCCTATGTAAAAATTTGACCACTGATAATTACCCCCTACTCCCCGAGAGTCATGATTGCAACAATTTGTAATCTATAGTACATGAGGAAGTTTTCATATCAATAAGACTAATTATGGCTTTCCTGTTCTTTAAAAGATGATTTTTCCTATATATCCGTATGTAGATTTTCCATTGTGGCCCTACCTTACCCCTTGGGGGTCATGAATTAACAAACTTAAATCTACACTACCTGAGGATGACAAGGTTTGTAAATTAACGTGTTCCAATTTTATTGAAGAAACTGTTGTTTATGACGTCGAAAAGCCTGGTCTTCACTTTATCGTGGGAAATGATTGTATAAAGTGTTGATGCTATTGCTTTTTTGCGTTTTATTAAAGGTCAGGGGAAACATTGAATATAGATCTAAATATACTGAGTTATTTATGGAAACAGGTTCATTTGAGCTTATTAGAAACGATTGGAATTGCTCTATGGGTTTTTAAATGCAAGATAGTGGTAGATCAGTCGAAAAGCAGAAGAAAACTACAGAATTTTGATATAAGGTTGGAAATCTATCATTACATATCAGATGATGATTTGTTGAGGAAAAGTGTTGGAATCTTACGGAATTCCATTCGGACAATACTTCTAGTAGTGCTAAACAGATGATTGTCCGGGAATATTTCTGTAAAAATACCATAGGATAGGTATGGGATATTTTATTGATGACAAGAGTCTAATAGTGAGCTAAATTCGAAGGAATTGTTATTTTTTTTTATAGCATTGGAAGTGCATTTTGACACGACGATTCTAATCGTGTGAAAAATGCCAAGTAATTAATTCTGTGTGCATTGGAAATAAATTCTAAAAGTGTGACAATTTCGGAGTTATCATTATTTTTCATGTGCATTGGAAATGCACATGTTCATTTTAAAACTCTTTTATCTCTTTTGATCATTCTTAATTATATTTTTATGCACAGTTGGATATTTAAATATCCAACCGATAGGCAGTTGGAAATTTGAATATCCAACTAATGGCCAGTTGGATCTTTAAATATCCAACTATTGCTGGTTGAATCGGTAAAATATACGTAGACTAATAAAAATGGGTGACGTCATTTTAGTTTTTTAACATAAATTAACACACTCTACACCTTTTCGAGGTGCAAGAGTATAAAATAGGAACTACTAACATTTTAATACATTTTGAAAGGCATAATGTGCACTCTTCTGCTCAATTTAGCAGAAAACAATTACCGTATTAAATTATTGTAAAAAAATATAATAAGTTTACGTTTGAAATTTATTTGTCAACCTTTCCCCTCGTTTGCACTACCAAATTAAAATTCATTAAGAGAGAAAATTGGCATGAACGTTAACATAAGCATTGAAGTATTACTTTTGGATGTCGTTGATCTGATAATAGCATCTGGCCGTGCTGGCAAATTATCATACCCTATAAGGTGTGGTATTCAAGTTTTCGTCACGGCCAGGTGTTGTTATACGATCGAAGTCATCCGAAAATAATAATACAATACTTCAGTGAAACGACTATCTTTGACAAAGAGTGGCGCAGAATTTCGAGATGTATTTTTACACATCTACTGAGAGATTAAAGATAAGAAGAAAATGGTTAAGAACTACGCACGCTAACTCTCGATTCCCGCCTACATTTTACACCCATTTAATTCAATACTAATGACAATTTGGCCGTAAAATCTTTGTTGAATGCAAAGAACAGTTCAATGGTAATTGACTGATAATTTAAATACCAGTGTTAAATAGTTAATTACCCCTAATTCCAGCTCTTTAAACGAGGGGGGTAGACGATATTTTCCACTGAAATCACGCTTTAAAGCATCAACACATTTTAAAATATTCTTGGATATGAATAAATGTTCCATAAATCTTTTCTTATGTTTTACGCACGCATATAAAATTAAACATATATTATTAATAAAATACAATGTTTTAGTTGTAAAACCCTTTGAAATTGGTGAAAAAATAAGCATTTTTGTAGTTTTTTGTCTGTAAACATATGCCCCCCCCCCCCCCCCCCGTGAAACACAAAAAGCTTTGGTAAGAATTTGTGAAATGACAGTCCATATTACCTGTAAAAAGGAATTTTTGTTTCACGGGGGGGGGGGGGGGGAGACGTTTTAGAAATATTTTCCGTTTTCCCTTGATTTCTATAGTGAGAAACACAAGTTTTACTAAACGTGTAGAGTTATCTCTCTTTGTTTTCTCAAAAAAGTAATGTTTTATGAAAATTCATATAAATATCTATATAAATATGAAAAATCATTCAAATGTGTTAACTTTTGAAAAATTGACTTGGAGATAGGCGGGAGAACAATACTATCGTTCGCAGTTCTTTCTTATTTTCAGTCGATCCTCGTTGAGTGCCATATGCATAAACGAAGTCTTTGAAATCTATGTTTAATGATTTATTTTCATCAAATTGACAGACTGCTATGATTTTAGTCTTTTTGTAAAATTTCACACCTTAGTATATTTCTAACTTGCTCAAATCTAAAATTCAAAAAATAATTCATTCTTACCTCCCCAGTAGCCATTGAGATGCTGATCATCGGGGTTTCCTTCGGACAGTCACGGTCTTTAAACATATTGAACAAACGCTTGATGAATATTGGAGTAGGCATTTCTCCCTAAAAATAAAATCTCTCGAAGTAATGGAACAGAATCATATTTATTTCACAAAAATTTCCGAATAGATAATTGCAAGAAACAAACCTCCTGTATTCGGATCGGTTCACTTTTATCCGCTACTGGCTGGTATTCATTCGCTGAACTGACGTGAAACGATATGTATTCATCAACCTGATACCATATATAGAATCATGAGAAATGATACAGATTGAAAGAATTCATCAAGGCAAAAGCTAAATAAATACTTCTCTATTACAATGAAGTTATAAATTATTTTTAAAGAAAACACTTACGGGATCTCCTTGAAGTTTATTACACGACACCGTTAGCTGAAAGTTCTGCAGAGCAGCATTACATACATCACCAGGCTACAAATTAATGTCATTATATATCAGTGCTAGCACAATTCATATATATATATATATATATATATATATATATATATATATATATATATATATATATATATATATATATATATATATATATATGGAAAGCCTAAAGAAATTCGAAATTCACTTCCAAATTCTCCCACCTACAGGAGTTATCTTTCTTCAAAATCATTTATTTAAGAGAAGAAAAAAAATTAATTTATTATGAAAATTCTGCATCTGATAAATGATAAATTCCTGTAACAATTAAAAGAGATAGAAATATCTTAATTTTAACAGTTTAAAGGAACTGGGTATACAAGTATTTTAGGTAATCTATTATAAGCAATTATTAAAAATATTGGCAATAGAAAATAGAAATCAATATTTGTAATATAGAAAATGTCTATATAATGGTCTTCATCATTAAACTCTAGTTAAGAAAATTCATTGAATTGCTTGGGATAGTTTTTTTTGAGAAGTTATCTCTCTTATCAGAGTGACTTTACACTTTAACGCAGTTCCAGACACACAGTGACTGCTTTTCTTAATGCATGGTCCGTCACGGTAGCTCAGTAGGTAGAGCGCTCGCTCCGTGATCGGTAAGTCGTGTGTTCGAATCAACGCCGAATGATAACCGACCAGTTTTCATGATTTTTGGTAATGCAATGGCGTGCCCTGTCTATAAACAAAATAATGCGTTGCCACTGACCAAGGTGCTAATGAACTTCAGTTCAACTAGGTGATAAAACACTAAAACTACTTTCTCAAGCCAGCAAGTCATATAAATATGACAATATCCCTATGTAGTATACATTAAGTTGTTTTCAAATCATGGTCCCTGTGAATGATTGATCGAGATTTAGTATTTCTATTTTTATAAAAAGGGGGAGGGGGCAAACTTTTAAAAATTTAGATGACAAGAGCAGCTCTCAGTACTTTTGACATGTGTTTTAATGAGGATTTTTTTAAGGTTGAGGTGCGGGTCTGCTTCCCACTAAAACTGCTATTGTACTTAAAATTGTTGAAATAATAGACTTTTGCTACATACTAGTAATCGGATACAGTTTAAGATTTCATGCTTAAGTATAAGTTTTAACATATGAAATATATGAACTATACAAATAAAACCAATATTATTGACACACTTCACTCTACATTTGAAAATTATGTTTCAACACGATTCAGTACATGCCAAGCATAATTAAACAAGACGCCTGTGAGCCAATGCTCACTAATAATACCCCTGCTCTGATGTGAATACAAAAGTTCATTTATGGACAGACATAGGGATAATCAAGAAGTTGACATCGGATTCGTACAAAAATGAAACCCATCAAATGACATGCTTAAACAAAGAGTGTGCTAAACTTTTAAGCATCTGCGATTAGTAATTGCTGAGAGAACTGCGACCAAAACATTGTTATGTATGGTACGGACAGACGCACAGATAAAGAGGAAGTTGACATTAGATACTTACAGAAATAAATCCCACCATATGGCATGCCTAAAAAAAAGAGTTTGCTAAACTTTCAAGCATCTGCCATGAGTAATTGCTGAGAAAACTGCGACTAAAACATTGTTATGTATGGTACGGACAGACGCACGGATAAACTGGAAGTTGACATCGGATTCGTACAAAAATGAATCCCACCATATGGCATGCCTAAACAAAGAGTGTGCTAAAATTTCAAGCATCTGCAATGAATAGGTGCTGAGACAACTGTGACCAAAATTTGTTATGTATGGTACGGACAGATGCACGGATAAACAGGAATTTGAAATCGGATTCGCACAAAAATGAATCCCACCATATAGCATGCCTTAACAAAGAGTGCGCTAAAATTTCAAGCATCTGCAAAGAGGAATTGCTGAGAAAACTGTGACCAAAATTTGTTACGGACAGACACACAGACAGCTAGACAGACGTACAGCTAGACAGACAGACAGACAGACACACAAATGTAAAACAGTATACTCCCTCTCCTTTGGAGCGGGGGTATAAATATTCATTTGTGAACACAACATTTCAGAATGATAAGAAATGCATAGCAGTTCAATGCAATACTGTTGCCTAGTTCGTAGATAGATCGAAAATGTACCGTTAAGAACAATGAATGTAAGTAATATATTTCTTCCAAGTATTACCTAATTGTATACACATTCCCATTATCTTATAACTATGTCATGTGTTTTTAGAACAGTAACATGAGAAATTGAGATACAGTTTTTTTTTCTTACATTTGTTACGTCAAGATCGATAGCTTGTAGCAGAACTAGTTGATAGGTCTGGTTAACGAATTCTAATGAAACACTTGGATTACTATTGGAAATGGCCCATTTCAGAGTTGTAGAATTCGTTTCATTCCCAATGAAAAGGATAGAACCTTTAATAAAATGAGAGAAAAGGCAATCAAACAACATTTCATTTATAACCAGCATATCACGATGAGATGTGTAACGTAGCAGGTCTATGAAACTACCTTGTAAAGATGTTTCTTCAAAGGAAATTTCCCTTGGAAAAGGAAATGGGCCACATGGGTCATCTAAACAAAAACAAATGAAGTAATTTACAAAATATCTAATAGAAGAACCTCCAATGACTTTTCAATTTAAAGAATACTTATTAAAATAAAACACAAATTTATGGAAGCCCATTTAGGACCTATTAAAAAATATTTTTGAATTCGATATAACGAATTGTTGAATTTGTTATAACAAATTTAATTCCTTATAACAGTTTGTTTGAATTCGTTATAACGAATTTAATCTGTTATAACAAATTTGTTGAATTCATTATAACGAATTCAAATATTGGTTATAACAAATTAAATTCGTTTAAACAAATTCTAAAATTTGTTATAACAAATTAAATTCGTTTGAACGAATTCTAAAATTTGTTATAACAAATTAAATTCGTTTGAACGAATTCTTAAATTTGTTACAACGAATTAAATTCGTTTAATCAAATTCAACAATCAGGGCCTGTAGAAAAATATATATGAATTCGATATAACGATTTATCGAATTCGTTCTAACAAATTTAATTCGTTATAACAAATTAAAGAATTCATTTTAACGAATTTATTTCGTTATAACAAGTTTTAGAATTCGTTATAACGAATCTAATTCGTTATAACAAAATTTTCAATTCGTTATAACGAATTCAACAAATCTGTTATAACAGATTAAATTCGTTATAATGAATTCAAAGAAACTGTTATAACGAATTAAATTCGTTATAACAAATTTGACAATTCGTTATATCGAATTCAAAAATATTTTTTGATAAGTCCTAAATGGGCTTCCGTACAAATTAAATAAAAGAAATACAGATCGTGTCAAGAGAGAGAGAGAGAGAGAGAGATTTGCCTTTGAAAAGATCCGTTAATCAGCTCGGAAGGGGATCCCTGTCATTTTTCAAATTATATGACTATATCACGATTTCAACGCAATGAGACACATACAACATGTTAATTTTATTTGCTCTTTTAACATCATTTTTATTGCATTTGTTGGTATCATTTGACTCCAAATGCATAATATTTTCTAACAAAGCTTAGCACTTAAATCCTCGACAATGGATAGAAAAAGACCAGTTTAAGTATCTCCCTTCTTTGAACGACAGAGGAGGTACCTACCTTGTGTAACAACTCCATTCAGGCTACTAATAAGTAAAAAAGCAAACAATTCCTTCATTATGTGATCAATTTCTTGGTAGATTTTCCTGTATTGTAATAGATCCCCAAATATAACATATAATTATCCAGCTTAATTATTCCTTTGTTTGTACGAAATTCTATTAAAATCCACTACATTTTAAGTTGTGTTTTATCACGGATTCTTTCGACATTAAGGGTCTGCCACCGCTAGAATCGATATCTTTTAGCTGGATAAGATTAATTCACCGAATTCGGCTAATTTTATCAAAACTGTTTTCTCTTGAGCTGAGTCTGAATACAAACGGGCACGATTGTTTAAGTTTCCTTGTGGTAAAACTCCCGTTAAATCGATCACAGCGGTAAAACCTCACATACCTGCATTTTTATCACCTTGTAAGGGGATTTCAGCAATAAAGTCTATCGTCAATTCTCAAACTGGCGAAGATATTATGCCCTATTCTAATAAGAACATTTAAAATGTTTTTCTTTATCATATTTCAATATTTACATTCATTGCGATTAAAGATGTCAAACAACATTTTACTGAATTGAAGAGGTTGGTGAACAGAATATCAAGAAGATTTATAACGCTAAAGTTTAAGATTTGACTCAAACTTTTGACTTGTAGCTTAATATTTTTATGTTGATGAACTGTAAGAGGCGTAAAGGGTCATTGCTATAATTCTCAAAATTGACAGCTTTATTAAGGGAATTCGATAGAATTTTCAAAAAGAACAGAATATTTCGTTTTCTTCTCTATGTGCTGTTGACACACCTGTGCCCCGTTATCTCTAGACATGATAAATAGGGATCATGCTAAGAATTGCTATTTAATGCTTCATAACAGAAGATTAGAAAGGGTTTGTCAAACTGAGTTGACGGCATTTATAATATCAGGAATACAAAGTAAACTTACCATTTAATGTACTGTGAAATCACTTATTTTCATGGGGTCAATTTTTTGAAGTTTGATGTAAAATATTGGTTCTTAGAGAGTGTTTGAAGAGAAGATATGATATAATAAATTGCAAATTTTATATATCGGGATTGGGTCTCTTCAATCTATTGGTCTCTTCATTCCACAAAAAAGCAAGGAAGTAGAAATTTCACGAAAATTAATCATTTCACAGATATTTGAAGAAATACGTATATGACATATTTGATTTGATGACAATTTCTTTAATTTTTATCGACCTGTTTTATTTGTCTTTTTTATGGACCTGTTTCATTTGTCTTTTTTATGGACCTGTTTCATTTGTCTTTTTTATCGACCTGTTTCATTTGTCTTTTATTATGTAATATGTTAATATTGATTCAATAATTTTTACAAAATATGATCAAATTTTTTTGGGTCGATTAAAGAAATTTGAAGAACCACCGACCCTCCAGATATAGTCATCAGACTTGATAGTTTGAGTTATTTGCACACATTAATCTTATCGATCTATCTTATCTGTTCCTATTGATTTTACAATCTGTAGTTTTCTACAACAAATGCACAAATGCACATTTTGCCTGGACACAAAGCAATTTATAAAATGCATAGATTGTTTCGATCAATTACCGACCATTAAAACATAAATATGAAAACTTTTTTTTTAAAGACGAATAAAAATTCAAAAAATTGAGGTAAGGTTTAACAAACAATTAGAAAATGATTTTAATGACTTTTCAAACATTTAACATTTAAATTATTTAATTTTATTGATCATGAAGTATCACAGATAACTAATAAATTTGAATAAAACAGAAATGATTTTTACATGATTCTAAAATACTAGTATATAAATAAAAGATGATTTTCATAATGATCAATATGTTTAGGGCATAAAGATTGATTTTATAACACTCACGCATATGTTAGAATTCGACATACTATACATATTAATGAATGCAGAAAATGCAGGAAAAATATTAACTCATCCTTAAAAAAAATCGCTGAAGGTGCTTCAAGACACGAATAATTAAAAAAATTCAATTGTTAATTTATTGAATTGAATTTTTTTATGTTTTAATGTACTGATGATTTTTAAACTGTATTGAAAATATATCTAATTTTATTATGTTGATTAATATTTTGGGCCTGTTAAAAGTCTTAAAGTTATATTCAAAATTTAATTAGGGATGTCAATTTTACTCGGACAGCTTAGTCGAATAGTCGGAGGCTTTAGTCGAACGATAGTCGGGTACTTGTTGAAATTTAAATTAATTTTTCATGTCATTTTTTTTCTATTTGTCTTTCAAAGACTGCTAGCCTGTACAATATTTAACCTACGCTATCACCATTATACAAAGAATTATTGAATCGTTAACATTTACGTAGTAATAAATATATGTATCCAATGTATTTCATTTAAAATATAATATTTACTGCCTATTTTATCTATATACAGAATATCAAACGACCGCATTTATCCTTTCTTTTCATGCTGCTAGTACATGTACCCGTTATTGATTTCTTACCCAAAGCCATTGAATGCGTCTTGTCAGTAACCCGTGATTGTTAAACAATTAAAGTGTAATTCTTATAAAAACAAAGAGAGCTTGCGGTAAATTTTAATTAAGAGATTTTTTGCAAACAATCAATACAATTTTAAAAATGATTGATCTTAATATCAAAAAGAAACACCTGTAAATAACGCTCATAACTGTCCCCAATTTACATGTATTTAGAAATATGTAACAGCTGTTTAATTATTATTCATTAATTGATAGTTACATTATACGGAATTGCAGGTTGAAACATTACAATTTGGATCTGACATCTTTTAAAGTATGTCAATGCATGTTTGTCGAACAAAATATTCCATTGAACAATTAAGGAACACCGGTTCAGCCTTTCCCTGAGTTTTACTCACGAGAACACCGATACGTTAGTAAATGAACTGAGCAGATTCATTTTTTTAATTTGATTTTTTTTACCTTGAATCTAAGATTACTATTAAGTAGCAATTTTTTAACGAATAACCGACTAAAAAAAATTTAGTCGATGGTCGATATGATCGAACGATAGTCGAGTGCTCGAATATTTGTGGACATCCCTAATTCAAATATAATACAAATTCATATGTAAATATAACAAATTTTCTGCCAAAACAACGCCTGGTGTTACATTGCAAAAGATTTAAACATTGATATATTATTAGAAGTGATTCCCCCTACAAAGTGTACATGTACAATCTGCATGATGGTATCAATATCAACTAAAAAGCTGAGTTGTAAAAAAAACAAACAAAAAAACTTCGAGATAGTGTTCTCCCTAAGTGTCTTCTACGCATAATAACAGTACATGATTATAAAGTTTGCATTTCGTACGTGTTTAGATGGATTACTTGTCGAGAGTCTCAAATAAATTTTTACTGTCTTGATGAAAAGAATCAATTGATTTTAATCGTCTGGCCAATATAATATTATTAAAAAAAACTAAAAACTATACCCGTGAGATTGCAATCTGTTTAGTTTTAATGATATTTGTTCATATTGGTTGAGTCGTTGGAAGATCCTGATAGTGATGGTCTACTTGGATAAAGTTTCAATTGTTTCTGTACTTGAATTCAATGAATCTTGCCCTGTCTGTTAAATGACAAATTGTTTAATTTACTTGCAAGCAGAACTTTAGTTTCTTCAACTTCTTAAGGTATTTATTGGCAGATCAGGTCGGAAAAGCTCATGAAGGTAGTAAGTGATCTGAAGCTACAAAGTGCTTGACATTCATATTTGAAGTCAATGAACGAGATTAAATATGAAGATAGTAAATAGTTGTACTAAAGAGACTTTAAATACTTTGACCTATTAGCTAGCGAATATTACTTTGTATTAAACACAAAATGATGTACAACTTTAGAGATCTATAAATATCAAAGATAAATATACATACTTGAACTAACTGCTGCAATTTCAAATACACATAAATTTAAAGTTTGTTCTTTTAAAAATAAATTTAAATTCAATTAGATAGTTATTGAAAAGAAACAACTTTTTATTGAGTCACAATAATGAATCACTCTATAGCTTATACGGTACAGTGACCTATATGTATATCTGTTACAGTGTTAGTTTTCTACATTTCAGTGTATATATAATGATTATTTGTCATATCTTGGACATCAATATACGCACATCAAAAATGCTTATATAAGTTATATTCAATACCGTTATCACATCAGTAATCATATATACCATTTCATGTTAATTATTGCCTATGTTCTTATTATAGAAAAATTGAAACATTTGGTAAGGAGAGAAAATGGAGATTTGTTCCTTTCTATAATGGGTTTGTCCCTTTACCTCAGAGCTAATCATGTTAATTTGTACAGATAAGGACATCTCAACTAAAACAAAGAAATCAAAAGCAAATATCATTAAAAAAGGCTGACTTTATTTTGCTCTTTTTTATCTTTTCTTCACAGTGATGCTTAAATCAACATTTCTAAAATTTAACATTAAGTTTCAAAAGCAAATACATCTTTACGTCTTTTTAACTTCCTTACGATAAGAAAGTGATATATTTATGGTTGGGTGTGGCTCACGGGTTGTTATTTGCCTCTAGACGATGTTATTCATTAACTCCATAAAAAGGTGTGTTATGTGCATCTTTTTGAAAGAGCTTCGTTCACTTTATGCATAAAATGGGCCCGTCCTTAAATCAATTAATTGACTATCACCCTCTGTCCTATTTCATATATCAAAATAAAGTAGAGACTTAGTGCTTTCATTTCCTACTACACAATTTCTTCTTAAGAATCCAGGTATTGGAAAACAGGCTTTGAGAAAATGCAATGTTTTTTAAATTTTGAAAAAAAAAAAAAAAAAAAAAAAAAAAAAAAAAAAAACCAACAAAAAAAAAAACCAACAAAAAAAAAAAAAAAAAAAAAAAAAAAAAAAAAAAAAAACCATGCGTATTTGACTACCTTCAACAAAGAATTAAAATATGAGCACAGCCCACGATCCAAAAATTAAAACATGTTTTATGATCCTCAGAAACAGATCTTTCATTACGTAATTGCATATTTTGGATCAGAGATGGTGCTCTTTGTG